CATCATCTTATCAATGGCTCCCCCAAGAGACGAAATCGCATCGGTAATCTTCGTCTTGATGACGTCGCGGGCCTGGACGCCGCTCTGGGCGATGACCCCAGCCGAAAACTCCAACAGGAGCGGCACCTTAACCTTGATGATGGGAAACTCGTTGATGAAGGCATTGCAGGCCGCGTACGCTGAGCTGCAGCGCGTCCTCATGCGCACCGCTGCGTCCATGCCCGACTCGATGTGCTGCGTCTTGTCGGTGTCCTCGGGGTTCCCATCTGCTGGCTGGGCGGAACGCAAGATGTTGATCTGCTTCAGCGTCGCGGTAGCGTACTGGAGAAGAGGAGCAACCTTGGTAAGTTTCTCTTCATGCTCAGGTGCAGTGAGCTTCGCAAGGGTCTCGAATGCACCTGCCACGTGCACACCTAACAACTCAAACTCCGAGGCTGATTCTGTCTCCATCGACTTGTTAAAGCGCTCCACGATCCCCAAGCACCGGTCACAAGCCGCCGCCGCCGTTGTCTCGGGCAACCTCCTGCCGTCGCAAGCCGCGACCGCATCCTTCAAGGACGTCGCCGCCGCCTCAGAGAAGTCCCATTCAGCAATGCACTTGTCGAGGATGGCGTGCTTCGCCGACATGTCCATCTGGGACTGCGCCCTGTTCAAATCAGAGCTGAGGCGGGTCAGCAAATCGTTCATCGGGTCCAGCTCGTCCAATTCCTTGAAGAGTGTCTTGTGCGCCGCCAGGCGGTCGGCCATGTCTGGCACGGCAGCCCCGCCGCGGATCATGGCCATCAGCGCCGTCGCGGTCTGCTGGGACTGACTGACGACCTCGGCCTTGAGGTCGTCAACGCTCCCTGCCCCCAAGGTCGCCTCCCAGACGCCGAGTTGACGGGCCGCACCTGACAATGTCACCGCTGCAGACGAAGTGCCATCAGGATCCGTCTTGCGAACGGCCAGGTAGTGGATCTTCATTTCGTTCGCGAACTTGCCCATCCGATCTGCCAACTTGGACTTGGCCTCGATCCTATCGTTCCAATACTTGCATGTGGTCACGGCCGCCGCCGTCAGCGCGACGGAGCACTGGTCGAGATGCAGCTCCGAAGCCTTGACGTGCAAAGTCTGCAACAGCTCGATGGCATCGCTGTCCGCGACGATGACGTCGAACGTCGAATCCGACTGGAGCAACGCCAACAAGGTGAAGATCGTACTGCAGTTGGTGAACTCCAGTGCGCAGCGGTCTCCGAGGCCAGCATCCTCGGGTAGGTCCTCCCACACCGCAGTAGCCGCCTCGATGAACGCTGAAACGCGGAGTGCGGACTTCTCGCCATCGCACACCATCTTCAACAGCATCGACTTCATGGCGCAGTCGCGAAACACCTGGCGAGGAAGAGCATGCAACTACTATGCGGAAAGCGGGGGAGGGGCGGAAGTTGGGGGGAGGGCAAGCACTGCCTGACATCGAACGCCTCACCGACTATCCTCCAGGCTCCCCTAGTTGACATACATCCCCCCCCATCCTCCCCTATCAGACCTCCAACCTCATCATCGTTCGCACTCCGCCCTTCCCCTCCAGAAGCCCGTATCGCCAATTCCCCCGTACCTCCCCTCGCCACCCCCTGATGCACCCCTCCCTCCGCTGAGGAGGGAGGGGGGTAGCGTGAATCTAAAAGCCACGCGTGGCTCAAGCATCGATTAGATGAGAAGGATACCTGGGCCAGCTGCTCGCCAAGGAGGCGGGGTGCAGAAACAAATGACGAATTTTTATAACATATTTGTTGTCATTGAATGTTTTTGGAACGCGTCGAATGCGAAGGGCTTTCGTGCGTGACCAGCATCGCCTGTGCTGCGGTCTCCGCACTGCGCCACGCATATCCCACAAAAAGACAACGCGCGAAATTCAAACGGCCGTCGGCGCATCGAGGAACTCATGAACCAATTCCAGGCAAGCGCGCGCGCCGCTGAAAACAACCGCAAAATACAAGAAACCGAACAACCATGACCGGAACAAATCGACGAATCCTGCATGTGCCAAAATTCGACCCAACGGGCCCGCGCCAGGAAAAAAAATGTGCAAAAGCGAGGCCGCACGCGCGACCTCCCTCGCGATCATCGGGCGTTGCCCCTGGCAGCACAGGGGCATTCCAACGACCGCGCGCGCGTGCGCAAGTTTGCTGCATGAGCTAAGACCGCCGAAAACGCCACGCAGAATCGTCGCATGGGCGAGCATCCGCGACTTGGCGCCCATCCCCGCACGCGAACTAAGCGGCCCCAGCGCGTCGCGAAAATCTACTTTGGGATGCCCCAGCTGCTACTGCGGGCAAAAGTGCGACGTCCGCGGGAATGACCCACATGTCATGCTCAACTCATCAGAATCACGGGGGGGGGAGGGCGAAAACCACCGAGCACCTACTTCGCAAGAGCAAGAAGAAGCCAGAACAGAGGGACGGTAAGAAGGAGGAAGGGGAGGAAGAGTTCACGACTGGTCGGGCGTAGATACGCTAATATCCCAGGTTGCACCCTCGGCAGCGCACGCGCGAACGCAGGTGAAGAACGACGACTCGTGAGCGCTGAAAAGGCTCACCGCTTCTGTTCCCGAAACGCTCTTTCAAGAAGCGGCACCCCGAGAAACGCCAAGAACCCCCATGATCATATTCACACAGACCTCGCAAGGCGATCAGTTCGCCTGAGACTCGGGGCCAAAGTGCGGTGGCAACATGACCACCGATCAGTCGATCGAACCGAACAGGGAGGAACGGGGGCGACTGGCGAATGGATGGGAGGAGTCTGGAGCCTCTGCCGGCTGCCCAGCGCCCACGGGGTCGGACGGCGCCCAATGGGTTTCGGAGGCGCTCGAGCGCCCAAGGTCGGGGGCGGGGCAATCACACTAACATCGACGTCGTCATCTGTCTCATGGGCCCTCCACGTCGCCATGATGCGCAAAGCCCAACTGGCATTTTTCTAAAGTTTGTTATTGCCCACCTTCATTATCCGTCGCCCTCCCTCCCCTGTCAAACCCAACCACGCTCAGCGGCACTCTACTGAACCAAACCGACGCAGAATGACTGCCAATTTCGCGCGGGACGCCCCTGGCAGCGGAATCTCGCCCCTTGCGTTCGATCAAACACTGGCGCGCCTGACCTAGCGGCGCCCTTGACCTCCACGCCCCATCCCATGGGCCGCTGGCCCCGACAAGTCAGTGGCAATGCGATTTTCATGCTGCTTCAAATAACTGCCACGCGCGCGCGCGACCACTCGTCTGCCGAACAGAACTGCCACTTGCTTCTTGATCCCTGAGCGATTTGACCGAAGGGATTTTCTGGGCCCGCGGGGAGTGACGGTCGAATTTCGTTCGGCCCATCGGGGGCCGCGCAACCGCCCGCCACGCCAGCGGCCGATTTTTTTCGGCCAGGGCACCCCCTCCAAGGGCGTCGCGCCGAATTTTTTCTCTCGGAGCATTGGGCGCGCGGGGGCCGAATTTTACGCCGAATTTTTGCGCCGAATTTTCTTCCAATGAAGTCTCAGGCAAAACCGCCAAAAAAAATCGGCCGAGAAATCCGGCCAGAAATCCGGCCGCTGTGCGACGCAAGAATCCGGCCAGAAAATCCGGCCTGGAATCTGGCCAGGAATCCGGCCAAAAATCCGGCCGAGAATTCGGCCAGGAAGCCTGGCCAGGAATCCGGGCGCGAATGCGATCGAGCGACGAGAGAAGCAGAAGGAAAAGAGCGGCGTCGGCAAAAAAACGCAAGAGGAAGAGAAGGACGTGGAAGAGAACGATGGCGACGAGAATAAACGCAGCACGGGCATCACCCTGGGCAGCATGGTTCAGGTTATTTTGAATTCCGCGCCCGGGTTCAGGCACCAGGCGCGCCTGGCTTTAGCCCCCGCAGCCCCACCAATCGCTTGCAAGCCCGCCGCGTGCCCCACCCAACCCCTGCCGCCCAAGAAATGAATGAACTTAGGATGCTCCCGGCACCGAAAGACAGCAACGCAAAAAAGAACGTCGTACCCCCAGCTGTTCCTCCAAAGTTTGCCTGCGGCATGACATCTTGCGCGCCCATTGATTGGCAATGCGCGTCGCGCCCTCACTAGGTCATAAAGACGTGTCGAAACGACCCGATAGAACATGTGGCACCAGCGGCGCCATTGCGCCATCGGCGCTGGAATCTTTGCCCTTATGGATAATTCGACGCCGCCAACGCGCCGCCGCCGCTCTTTACGCACGCGTGCTGGCGTAGCATTTCAACTGTTGTAGCGCATCAGCACGGGGCGGGCGGGCGCAGAAACCGCGACGACGGACTCGCTATGTCACGCGAGAGGTGCGCGGTGGTTCCCGCCGGTCTGGCAATCGCGCGCGCGTCGCATGAGCGCCGAACCCCCCCGTCGGCGGGCCGTGCCGATCGAACTCCTCTCGGGCCCCATCGGCCTACAGTAGGCAGAGCGGGCCGACGCTGGGAGTTTGGTCTCCTCTGATAATGAAGCGACACCTGAGCCGCGCCGACGGAAATACAGGGAGAGTCGAGGAAGTCGAGGGTGAGGACACGCGAGCGAACGCACATTTTTTCACCGCCCCGGGGCGTCTTCTGGCACATCTGCACGAAGCCGCATAACCACTCGAATCGAACTTCAAAACCATGGGGGCCCGGGGGAGGGAAGAAAGAGGAGGGGCAACATAATGGCTGAAGCACGCCCAGACAACTTCTCATGATCGAAAGACACCTCTTGGCAAACCAGAGCACCAGCAAGGCACAAAAAACACGAATGGCACGGGAGCGAACGCCATTCTGCACTCAAAACACGCCAGACTTCACGTAGCACAAGGTCCTGAACGGTGAGACTACGTCCGCCGTGATTCGACTGCGGCCGCTTGAAGCAAGAATGGATCGAACTTCCCTCTGATAAGGTATCGGGCCAAGCTGTGCTAGGTCGGGCCGGCTAAGGCTTCGCAGGACTGGTGCGCCGCTCGATGACAACGCAAAGCCGAACTGGACTGGGCTTCGCTGGGCTGCGATCTAAAGCGAGCTTGTTGCAACACGCGGGGCTGCATTGACCTGGGCGTCGTTGCGCTGGCCTGGGTCGCGTAGGTCGAACACGTGCACGACGTGGCCTTCCTTGCGAGGGTTTATCGGAGCTGGCGCTACTTGTTCTACGTCGGGCCGCGCGGGCTCTCATGGGGCCTCATATATTTCTTTCAAGCACGAGTCCCTATTTAACATGTTCTCCCATTCGCCGCGGCGATGCTGCGGCCGACTCAACGACAAAAGGCGCGGAGGCCAGAAAAATCCGGCTCTGCAGAATAAGCCCAGGTGACAGCTGCTGGTCGACCAAGCCTGTGAGACGCAACGGCGGCTTAGTGGTGCAGCCGTCGTCCAGCACCCTCTTCGAAGAGCCGTTCCACATGCAGATGTGTTGCAGGTAGTCCTTGAGCTCAGCCTTGATCTCAGACTTCTCGGTCATCTTCTCGACCTTCTCGAACGTGTTGTTCGTGTACCGCTTTGCGAGAGCAACCCACAACTTCAAAGTCGGCTTCGCCCCTGACTTCGCCAGCTCGTTTGCCTTTCCGATGAGCTCCGCATCCTTCAAGTTGTGGCAGTTGTCGCAGTTCATCGTCACGGCGTCTCTCACGAGGTCCATCCTCTTCGTCAGCAGGCCGCGCTCGGTCACGTCGAGCTTGGGCATGAGGAGCGATGCCTGATTCAAGGGCTGTCCAAGCTTCGATCCATCCAGGGCCTTGTCAATGTCAAGCTCGTGCATCCAGTAGGCGGCGGTGCCGCACTTGTGGGGGTTCGGCGCCACCGATCGCGCACAGCTTGCCCTCGAACCTGCCCTCGACGCAGTCGGCGATGGCGACGCGCGAGGCCACTTGGCAGGCGTCCCGTCGCTTCCGCGGGCAGCCTCCAAGGCCGACAAAGCCTCCTGGTCCTCGTCGGAGTCTTCGCCGTCCACGGCCAGCAGCTCGGCCGTGCCCCCAGACTTCAGCCCCCTTTTCGCCTTCTTCCCCTTCGCCTCCTTCAGCTTTTCAGCCTCCTCTTGCAGGACCTCGTTGCTCCTGACGGTGAGACGCACACTTTGCACGGATGGCGCCTGCAGATCTTTTCCAGCGCCCACCGTCGCACTGCCAGCAGCAGCGAGCATCATCGGGCCCTGGGTGGGGAAGATGGCCCTACGGTCGCTCCCAGAGGGCCCCTGCTGCACCACGATGTTGTTGGAGCAGCCGATCTTCACGGTGGGGTACTTTCTCTTGAATTTCTCGTCGCGCTCGCAAGGGTAGACCACCTCCCTACCCGTGGCAGTGAAGAAGACGGCGAGCTTGATGTCCAGCATCTTGGGAGTCTGACCGAACTCCTTGACCACCTCCGCGAAGGTCAAGCCCGAGTACTTCATGTACATCTCCTGGTCAACCCGCATGGCGTCGCCGACGGAGACGGTAGGCATCTCCTGCTTGTCGGCGTCCTCGGCGTGCAGGTTGGTCACCAAGCTCTCTGCGTCCACCTCGTCCTTGTCCTTCTCAGCCACGAGGTCATCAAATTTGACTCCAGGCATATGCTTCACCGCGTTCTCCCCGCAGACCCTGCTGATAGGAACGTCCCCCATGGCCTCCATCAAGGCGCCCCCGTCGTCTTCCCACTCGATGAGCTTGCATGCCTTACAACTTAGAACAGAGAAGCACCGAGAAGCAAGGCCATGAATAGAGAAGCAAGAACACAAATAAAGATGGGGGAGGCAACTGCTTGCGGCAAGGGAAGAAATAAAGGCGTAGAGCTAAGGAAGGGGACGGGGGCAGGGCAAGAACGAGGGGTCACTGCATCAAAACCTCTCCGGGAGCCGGAGAGACACGGGAGGGCATAAACCTTGCAGGAATGAGTGTGTGAACGTACAACACACGCGTGTATATATAGTGTATGTTTCGAATCACAGAAAGTGCGTATGATGTGTGTATGTGTATGTGTATGTATGTATGTATGTATGAATGTATGTGTACTACAAACGTATGTGCCATGTAGTGTGTAGTGTGTCTGTATGTATGTATGTACGTATGTATGTATGTCTGTATGCATGTGTGTATTTGTATGCGTGTCGTATGTATGTACGTGATACGTAGTAAGTAGTACTTACAAGACTGTACTTTACAATTGGCTGTCTACATTACTTTGGAGAAATTGCTCTACACCCCTACCTCACTGTACAACCCCCTGCACACCTTAACTTCTACAGTTTGGAAATGCGTGGCCGTTGAAATTATGGGAATTGTTTGAAGGGTGCGATATCTGAGACTTACAAAAATAATGGCAAGCGCAAAACTTCCACTGGCTCTTTGCTCTCTGACACATGGGAGTAATACAAAAAAGTCTGGACACACAGCTAGTCTTCAGAAAAGAAATCTGCAAAAGTTTGATATCATGAGAGTTATGAGAATTCTGTTATTATTCAATTAAATATAAACAGCGAGCTTTATAAGAATTGCAGAATCTTCAAGAAGCCCGGTAACCAGCGGAATCCTGCAAAGGTTGAGAAATTGGAAACTGATCAAAATTTCAAAAACAAAAATAATTCAAAATTAACAAAAGGATGCGAAGAACAAGGCTGCACAAAACAATGAGTTCTGAAATATTTGAGAACTGTGACAATTGCACAATTGCTCAGATACCTGCGAATCACGAGTTGTGATATTCATGGGTAACCAAAGCCATGGGAATTGCAAGAACTTCAAAAGATCTGAGGCTTTTGGGATTTCTGAGAATGTGGAAGTTGTAGAACTGAACAAATTCTCGTGCATCGGAGAATTCCGAAAGATTCAGCCAGCGCGGAGCCCAAACAGCTTGGTTAAGCCGCCAACGTGGTGCAAGCCATGCGGTGCATCCTTTGTGGTGCAAGCGACGTGGTGCAAACGGCGTGGTGCACCCGAGGTGGCGCAGCAAATGCGATGCAGCATAAATCGTGCAACATCTGTGGTGCAAGCTATGGAATGCAATCTATGTGATGAAGCCCATGTGGTGCAGCCTATGTGGTGGAATCGGCGCGGTGCCATCTATGCGATGCACTCCATGTGGTGCAGTCTATGTGGGGCAAGCTATGCGGTGCAATATATGCCGGGCAATCTATGCGGCGCAGTCTGATCGGCGCAACCAATGTGATTGAAGCCCTCGCCCCCAGAAGCGCGACCCCGCAGGCGCCCGCGGCGGGCGCTCCAGGCCCGTCGCCGCCCGCGGGAAATCCGCTCGCGGCGCCGAATGAGAGAAGGGAGAGAGACTGACAGTCGCGCCCGCGAACGCACGCGAGGAACGCGACGACTTGCATTGCCACCCCAAGCCGCAGTGCATGTAAGAGATGTGAGGGCTTACACGATACTGAGAAATATGCATTTCAGGCAAACTGAAAAAAACAAGGCGTGAGCGCGCGCGCACGAGCGCAATCAATGGGAGAACCCGAGTCCTTGATGAAGCAGGACGGGGGGGGGGCGGCGAGGAGGAGGGCGGGTGGGGAAAAGGGAGTGGAGGGGGCAATATGGAGGGGGGAGGGGGAGGAGGGCGCGGAATAATGAAGCAATGGCCGATCTGTCTTGCGCCGTCGCATTTGCGCGGGCGGCGAACATCGGCGGCGGCGCAGGGCGTCGGCGTAGACCATCCCCCCTGACGGGCGCGCTTCGGCACGGAAGCTCCCGCGTCGATTTGAGTGCACGAGCGGTCGTCGACCGCTGCGGGGGCGCCGCACTTGCCCCAAGCATTGCCGCCACAAGCGATCGCGGCGGCGACGGCGACGGCCAGCGGCCCGCATCGTGAAAGCGGCGCAGCGCCGCGCGGCGCCCCCGCGCGCGCGGCCCTCCCCGCTGAGACGTTATGAGGTGACCGCCACGGCGCGGATGGGCGCCAACAGCCGCGGCCGCCTTGCGCCCTCGGCGGCGCACCCGCGCATTGGCGTTGGATAGCCCCCCCCCCCCCACCCCCCTAGGGCCAGACCGAGGGCCGCCGCGCAGGTGGCCTTTCCCAAGAAGGAGTGCTATACTTCGACGTAAGTATCTCAAACGCTTCCTTCTCACGCCGCGAGCGTGGATGCCGAAGGTCGTCGAGCTCGCCCGCGCCTTGGCCGCATTCGTCCGCGCCTTGGCCGCAGTCGCCCGCGCCTTGGCCGCCTCGCCCCCCGCGGAAGCCTTGGCATGCGCGCTCGGCGACCACTCGGCACAAGCCGCTCGAAAGGGCTGAAAGAACTCGCGACGGGGCCCGCGGGGGGGGGGGCCATGGCGGCGACGAAAAGTTTGGCGTCGGCGGCTGGAAGGCTTGAGCTTCTGACAGAAAAGTATCGGCGTCGTCGGCTGGCTGCGGCTTCGGGTGCGTATCGAGGGCGATCGGCTCCTCCTGGATAGTGCATCCATGCATCTGGCCTGTAGCCATGGCCAGTCCTAGCGCGACGCTGTGAGGCGTGAACCACGAGTTGTCCGCGTTGTAGATGCCCCACAGCGACGGCCTCAGACACTTTGGCCTCGTGCGCTGCGCGCGCGCTGGCATTCTGAACAATGCACACTGCGCATGAACATCCGCGGAAAACGGGAAAGGGGGCGTCGGCGTCCACGCGGCAGAGATCGGCCTCCTCCCCGCAGAGAGGAGGAGGAGGAGGAGGAGGGCCCAGTCGGCGCCCTCACGGAAGTGGTCGCATGCGCCCGCCGCCACGATTCGGCGAAACGCCTCGGGTCGGTTGTGGGCGCAGGCGGCGTGCGCACCATGCACCGACGTATGCAGAATCTGAAAGCGGGCGCAGCCAATCTGCCGATCCGCCGAGCAACGCTTCTTTGGCCCGTCGCTTCGCGTTCGGGAGGGGGGGGGGAGGGGAAGGGAGGTGGGATTTTGAAGGAGGGGGAGGGGGAGGTTGATTTTGATGGGGAGGGGGAGGGGCTGCAACGGCAAGAACACGGCGGTGGCACACGGCGTCTCCTCCCTGGGCGCAACTGCAGCTGCGCGGTCCACCGCGGACCAGCCCCACTGCCCGACGAACTCCCACTCTTGTCCAGCGGGGATCGCATTCTGCCGCGTTCCAGTAGGTTTGGCCCACCCGCGGACAGGACGGCGGCCGTATGCACGGCCGTGGCGGCACCTGGCTGCCGAGCGCGCTTGGCCCGAAAATGAAAAAAAATCGCCCGTCCAACACTGCGAGGCGGCACCCAAAAGAAGCTCGTCGGCTCTCGCAACGCACGCGTGCCGAACGGCCGCCTCGTGCGCGGCCAAGTACTTCTGCCGTTGTGCGGCCGCCGCACCCAGCGATATTCGGCCGTTCCTGTGCCGCAACCCTCGTGGTTGCAGGGCGCCCAGAATGTCGACGGCGACGCCGTGGTCGGGGACGTCCCCGACTTCCACGGAGACGCCGTCCCACGTAAGCTTGGGGCGCCAACGGCATGGCCACCGCGCCCCGACGCTTGCCCTGCTGTCGCACGGGACTTGCTGCCATCTTCTTCGTCGCAAAAGAGAAGCGCGCGCGGCGACGGGCGCCCCACCCCCCCTTCACCCTCCCCCCCCCCCTTCCCCCCCCCCCCCCCCCCCCCCTCCCCCCTCCCCCCCCCCCCCCTTCTTCCTCCCCCCCCCCCCCCCCCCCCCCACCACCCCCCTCCCCCCCCCCCCCCCTCCTCTCCCTCATCAACCTTACCCATTCCTCCTCCCCCTCCCCCTACCCTATTCCCTCCTCATTCCCTCCCTCCCCCTTCCTCCTCTCATCCCTCCTCTCATCCCTCCCCCCTCCTCATCCCCCCCCCCCACCCACCCTTCCCCCTGCCCCTCCCTCCCTTCCCTCTCACCGAAATCGCCGTGCCCCACCGCGACGGGAGCGCCCTTGCCGATGATATTCGCGCGTTGCGCGCGCTCTGCGCGCCCTGCGCCCAGCGGGCAAGGCCGCCGCCTCCGCGGCCGCTGGAAGTGCTGTTGGAGTCGACCTCCAGGAGCGACTTCGCGGCGGCTATGAAGGTTGCGGCGTCGCCTCTGCGCCGATGGCAGGCGGCGGCACTGCCGCCGTGGTAAGTTCGGCAGTAAGAACAAGTCCGTCCTTCCCTGGGTGGAACTTCCGCGCGGCTCGACGGAACTCGCGGGTAAGAGCCTCGCTGTTTGTGAGGTCGTTGGGGCGCGCTGGATCGGGCCCCGCAAATCATGGGACGCAGCTATGGTCGCACATGCATGGGGCCCGTCGCCACGAAAAGCCCCCTCGAACTGGCCGCGCGGCCGCGCCCGCCGCCAGCGCCGTCTGAATGACGCGGTCGGCCTTCTCTGGAAGGTCAGGGGCGATGCCCCGACCCATCGTCCACAGGCGCATCACGAACGGCTTGAGCGCCGCCGTGGCTGCGGGCGGGCGTCGGCCAGGAAAACGACGAACGCCCGCGTTGTAGTGCGCCGCCCCGCGATGAAGTGGCCGCGCGCCGCGCGCGCGGCCTCTGCACTCTTGCACCTGGCGGCCGCCTCCGTCGACGCTGGGGGCGCGATCAGCGCCCTCGGGCCATCCAACTCGCCCTGTGGCAGAGTGGCAAGCTTCCCCGCGTAGTCGCGAAAACCTCGCAGATCTGCCGCACGTCGCTTGGGCGGCTCTGCGCGAGGGCGGATTCGACAGCCAGCCCGAGCATGCGCAAGCGAATATGTTGCGGGAAACGCAAAGGAACGGGCCCGCATTTTTTGCGGCGTG